GCAAGAAGATAACCCTTCAGTGGAATTGGTGCGGTGTACTTGAACACGGAACGATGGCTGTTCGCGTCGCTTAAACGAGGGCTTGATGAACGCAAGCAAGACGTACTGCATCACTGTGATTGACTGTTGCTTAGTGTGTAGCACGCATATTCATCGTTGTTATTTGTTTGGAGCTGTGCTGCTCCTCGCTTCAAAATGCTAATGCTGACGGACTCTGCTAGCTTGAAAAGCGTTGATGCTATTTCAGCCCATAACATAGACACTCTACCCAGTGGTAATGTGCACAATCTCTCCGAGATGAATGGTGGTACTCACCCAAAGGTTATTCGACTCGATAGGAATCAGCAACGGGAAAACAGGTTTTGGAGGAAACAGCGAGTCAGAGAGAAAAAGCAAAGAAAATGGGAAGAGCAAGTAAGAAAACAAAAGGAAGAAGAAGACGGTGACCCAGACGGCGAAAATGCCGAGGTGTTCTCTGACAACGATCCTGCCGACGACACTGAAGATGGTGATGCCACTGATGAAATGGATAGCGATGATGTACCCGAAGGGATTGGCTCGACTGCGCCAGATGAAGAAAATGCCGCGGATACCCCTGGTGACGGGCTCGGCGACTCTGGCTACAGGGCCGAAGAAAACGAAGAGCAACAGGAGCCACTTCATACGGGCGAAGAGGAGAGTGCAATGCTGCATGAAAGCAGACACAGGGGCGATGGTGACGTCGCTGAAGAGGATGACGGGAACCACTCCCTGGACGAGGCGGACAGAGACTCTCCGGAAACGCACAACGAAGAAAGGATGAACTATGAAGAGAGTGTCAGAAAATTATCTGAAGAGGAACAAGCGAAAGGGTCTGATGAAGCTCATGAGGAAGGCGGTCAGCCAAATGAGCCAAGTGAAGAGGGAGTAGGGGAAAATGAAACCGACGAGAAGGAAGAGGAACAAACTGCCAACCTTGAAAACGAGGAGAACAATAACCCAGGACCTGAATCAGGCGATGATGTTCGGGTGAACTCTAGCGCTGCTGTCGATGGTGAGGACGCCGAGGCTCGCCCAGACTCGAGGCACTCTGAAGGTGCTGAGGACGCCTCTACCCCGGACGCTAACGCCGGCGATCAGACGTCCGAGCAGCACCATGGTGACGGCTACGAGACGGATGACGAGCGGGATCGGACGCGCGACGGTGGGCCGGACGACGAGCGCGACTCGGCCGTGGGCGGCTCCAGTGAGGACCAGGCGGCTCATGACGAGGAGCGGGCAGTGGACTCGGCTGCCGGCGACCGGCCCGACTCCGACTGGGTGGGGCCGCGCAGCGTGTCTCCCTACGTCGAACAGCAGCTGCCCAATGGTGGCGTTGACGGCTCCCCGGACGCCCAGCAGGAACAGGAGGCGGCAGACAGCGCCGTGGAGCGCGACTCGGTTTTCTCAGACAACGATGAGGCGGCGCCGGAGCCCGCCCAGTCGCGGCCCGACTCGGAGTCGCAGCGGCGGCCGCCCAGTCGAGTCTCGCTCGTCTACACGTACGCCAGCGGCCCGAAGGTGCTCTCACACGTGGAGCTGGCGCCCGAGACGGAGGCCGAGCGCGGCGCAGCGACCGAGAATGACAACAAGCCGACGGAGGGCAGCGACGAAAAGAACGGCAAGCACGTCACCTTCGAGGAGGACGTGGCCGCGGCGGCCAATGTGCGGATCCGCCGGAAACGCTCGGACGCCGCGGACGTCGAGCGGGGTGAGGCGAAACAGTGGAAGGAGCTGAGGAAGAAGAACAAGGAGCGCAGGAAGAACAGGACGTCCAACACATTCAGGTATACTTGCACACCACCCTTACGATATTCCCGAGATTCGGTAACATCCTCTTTAACACTGGATTCATTAACGCAAGATATGGCATTGCACAAATATGTTCTCAGTAATGAACTTTGCTTAATTGCATTTCGAATGTAACTCGCTGAAACTCTGGTGAAATGAAATTCGTCGTTGTGTGCGGAATGTTTTTTTTTTTTATAAATCGCCTGCTCATGCCTGATTCACTGCAGCGTATGATATCTTGCCAAAATAATGTCCCAGAACAAAGAGACAAAATTGCTTAGGATGTTGATCGCTTCTCTCTTCATTTCCATGAAGCGATGTCCTAAGGCCCAAATCCAGTTGGAAGTAAGTTGAGGCTGCCATAAGACGGCATGCTGAAATGGGAATGGCCAGCATGATGATAACGATCCAGACCCTCCCACTACGGTGTTGTGGCTCTGTTTGCAGCTGTGCGGGATACTTAACACTGGAACATCTGACAATCTTAAAATGCATGCAGGATTGCAGAGCTTATATCATCTGGCGGTGCACGGTTCGGTGCATATGCTGGCGACTCGAACGACATGTTTGATGAGGAACATCGGAAGCATGTTGCAAAGCGTTGTCTTGCCTTTTAAAGTTTGTATCGTGTCGATGCGTCAAAGGCATGACATGCGTCACATTTGTAACTGCCTGTTCCTCACTGCAGAGGGTATTGTGATGATTGTGATACATGCCTTTTTCGGTCTCTTTAAAATGATGGCTTGCGTTAACAATTTAAACGTAGTTGTTATTTATGGACGAATTTAGCAAAATGAATTACAGATTTAATATTGCACGAAGTACAGGGTATATGAAAGGTACAAGTACAGAATTCTGAAAAATTTGCTTACATTTTATGGATGTATGCAAGGATTATATGAAAACGAAGAGAGGTAAAGCATGAATATCAATCATGGGTGTTGGAAAGCCTCTCAAACGTCTGACTCGGGAATGCTTCAATGATATTACATGCAGCTGTTTGGTTCAGGGCGGCCTATATAGGTATCTTTATGGAGTGTTTGTCAATAGGCTCAGGCAGTGTTTTCCCGCTGTTGGCGTGTTGCCCATACGAGGGGAACGATTAATGACACCGCCACGATGGCACGATATCAATGGTAACGTGCTGGGTGAAGCGGATGTAGGGAACTTTGCATATAGTGCAATACTTTGTCACTACGCTCTCTCCAGATCCACACTGAGCTATGTAATTAAGGAACTACTGCACAACTGCCAATGCTTGAAGATGGACAGCGATAGTAAGCTGCCAAACTGATATCACTGATTGTGTATTTCCAAGGGGACCCTGTATTTTAGATACCACATGGAATGCGACGTTTTGAATCGTGAGTCGACACGTAAATGCATAATGCATTGTGTTGACATTTGGGTCCGAAAAGTGGAGATGAATGAAACATTAACCGTTTTCATGGCGGCCGTCTAGTACAGTACACAGCTGCTTATATGCCTCACTTTTCAAATCATAAGGCATTATTTGCGATTAAAACAATGAAATAAATTCATGACATGAACCACATACTTCTCTATATATAGAGAAGTCTGTACATGAACACATCTGTTGTAAAAAAGATTTGGTGCAGATTCTGGAGATTTAGTGCAGATTCCTTATATTTAAACGACTATTATGTCTTGTACTTGCCAGGTCTTTAGTTGCGTCATGGCTTCATGGCAGGGTCTTTAGTTGCATAATAGCCGTTTTCACGACGGGCTATCCGGCGAATGCACCTAATTTGACCAAATCTGCACCTAATCTCTTTTGCAGGAAATATCTTCATTTTATGAATTTATTTCAGTGTTTTAATCGATGATACTCTTCGATAATATGAAAAAGCTGGCATATAAGCAATTATTGCAACCCTAGCTGATAGCAACTAAGAGACACGCTGAACCTAATTTGACCAAATCTGCGCCTAATCTGCAACAAATGTGCACCAAATGTGTACCAGATGGCCGTCGTGAAAACGGCTAATATCTATTCAGGACAATGCTGCACTCATTCTAAAATTCGCCTTATATCGTCTTATATATTCGCCTTGGGACCGGATTTTTTTTTTTAGGGGGAAGGGTGTCACTTGGTTTAAAGCAATCTATCCAAAAAATGTTCAGGATGCTCGTATTTTGAATCAATGAAACCGGCATTACCTATTCCATTACGTACTGCTCACATTTCACCACATTATCATATTGTAATTTATTTGCATGCCAATGCCTGTCTTGTGCTGACATTTAAAGACAGTGGGTCTGCAATTTTTTGCACTTTTTGCCGATATTTCCGTAATGCGAAAGTGATTCCAACACACTGAAGGGCCGTGCTTTGCTAATTAAAATACACATTTGACATGATAGCCCACGTGTACGTATAACGTAACAACATGAAATATTGCCTCCTAAATAAAAGGAACGTGCACTCGGATTTCCAGGGGTAACAAGTGGGAAGCCAGCATTTTGCTGATGTCAGTAACTTGTGACGTGTGAGTGCTGGCCTACATGGATAATGTACACCGCACTGCGTGTAAGTGCACCAGTTTCCTTGAAAAGGAACGTTACTGACAGTCAGTTACGTCATCTTTTCGTTATCTAACTTGTCTTTCTTTTCTCATTCCAAGCATATTGAAGTTCAGAGCTCCCCTTTTCAAAACAACCATGCTAAATCCAGCTCCTAAGTTCCACCCTGTTGTTGTAAGCACAACCCAGCTTGTAAATTCTTGGCCTGTAATGCATAATGCATAATTGTATGGCTAAGCGTGTATTTGGATCTTGCCATTACCTGTCTCCTGCTTCCTTGAACGAGTCGTCACTATCGCTATCTTCAAATCTAGCGTATCTTCTTTAATTAACAGTAATGGACTTGAACAGGAGCGTTCCCGTCTATGTGTGCAGCTGCATCGTTGGTACGTTTCTGTTAGTCAGTGCCCGGTCTCCCGGTGTCGCCCGGTGTCGCTCCGCGGTCGGTCGCCGTACCGGTGTCGCCCGGTGTCGCTCCGCGGTCGGTCGCCGTGCCGGTGTCGCCCGGTTTCCCGGTGTCGCCTGGTTTCCCGGTGTCACCCGGTGTCGCTCCTCGGTCGCCCGGTTTCCCGGTGTGGCCCGGTGTCGCCGTGCCGGTGTCTCGGCACGCTCGTGCCCATGCTGACCAGGTGACTGTGGTGTTACAGAAGCAGCAGCACCACCGGCAGCCTCATGAACGACAAGCGGCTCATCAAGACGGGCAACATCGGCACCCTGGTGCTGCATGGCCAGCCTCAGGTAACGCGCCACGCCCGGCCGGCCCCGCGGCGGTAGATTAGCCAGGGAATGGGACCGCGGACGGACCAGGCGCCATTCGAGACAGACGCCTGGCTCCAAGTGATTGAGGTGCTAACAGTCAGGTCCCGCATGTGAGCAACCGTAGATCCGGCCAATTTTCGCATTGCATAGTTCATTTTTAACTAAACTATCGGTGCTAGTATTGATTTATGTACTGCTGTACACTGGCTTTCCAAAGCTCCGGATATGCATTTCATATACCTAGCAGTGTCATTTTCTGATCTGTCCGCCAGTACGTGTATGTGATGACCGCCCGCGTGCAATATTTTAACGGGATACCTGTTGTGCATGCAGCCTCGGTGGAATGCTTACTTTGCCAACGCGCGAGCTCTGTCGAACTCGGTAAGTCGAAGGCCCTCGGGGGTAAGTGACCGTGTGCCACCCGGCGCCTGCCTGGCCCAATCACAGACGCGTCCGACCTGCACTGTCACTCTGTCCCGGTCCGTCCGCGCGGCTGACGGCCGTAACTGCCAAACGTGACCGTCGCGCCGGCCGGAACCTCCTGCACGGACTTGAGCTCTGTCAACTGCACGCCGTATGCCACTTATCAGGAACAGTCGTATGAAAACAATTATCACAATTCCTGGAATAAAATGTGAATATGAGGAATATTTGCATTAATGCGACACCAACAGTTTTCACGGCGAATATGGTTTTGTGTTTTCTGTATGATGCCTGAGTCCTTTAGCATGTTTGGTAAACTGTATTTTCTTGGCAGTTTGCTTTAACCCGCGCCCTGGGGGGTCTGTTTATAACGCGACCTGGTGGGGGGGGGGGGCTATTTTTTGCCCTCCCCCCGTATCTCCGAAACTACTGGACAGATCCGAAAAATTCAAACGGCGCTCGAAAGCCCTGTCAAATTTGGTCAGGGAACTTCAATTTCATTGACCTCGGGGTCACCGATGACGTCACAGGTCAGGTCAAAGATAAAATATTTTGCCGGTCACGGGTCTTCTAGGGAATGCGCTATAACATCGAGTAATATGCATTTTATCGAAAATCAGCGATAGGACGTCAGTTGCCTAGTACCTACATAATTACATATGTTTCTATTACAGGTCACTGATAATACCAGGTCAGGTCACAGGTCAGGTTTTCATTTCCAACTCAATGGTGTTGGTTATAAGACCATCAGGAATGGTTTAGGTCACTTCCTGGTGAAGGTCAGGTCAATGTCAGGTCAAAAACGTCAAATTTCAAAGTTTACATTTTTTGCATAAAATGGGTTCGATGCAGCTCGTCACGGCGAGTCTAATGGTGGCAGTGTTCTAAAATTGGATTTTGGTTGGGTGTGCCGATGAAGAAGAAAAAATCCTGGGATGACAAAAAGGATGTAAATAACTGAAGTATTTTTGCAAAATGGTGTACCTAATGCCAATTTTTATGTCAACTGATAAACCAGGATTTCATGTCAGGATCTTGACAGGATGTGAGCCCTGCTGGGGGGGGGGGGGCTTTGAACACCCCCGTTGTGGTTTTTCGCAAATATCTCAAAAACGGCGGCGCTCCGCGCCGCCGTTTTTGGTACACCTCATCATACATCAATTCTACATATGTTGTGAAAATTTCAGACCAAGGTTATTCAAGGTCAGGTCACCAGGTCACTTGAAGTGACCTCACCTCATAAAAAGTTTCAATGTCTGCCATAGCTACACCGAGTGACCGATCGCTTTGAAACTTTCAGCGATTGCTAAGAGCAATAGCATGTACAAAATGTCTTTCTCAGAATTTTGATATCGACGACCTAAGGTCAGGTCAATTTTGCGACCTCCCCATTATAAGTCAACGGGAGAAAATTGAAATGCGCCTCTTTTGGACGAAAGACATTATAAACACTCCCAAACACTGAACATGAAAATGGTGTCCGTGACCCCTGTTTATGCCCCTGAGGTCATCTTAGGTCACGAATGGCATCTAACAGTTTTTCGCAAATAACTTTTGATAGAGGCATGCTAGAGCGATGAAAACTCCTTAGATGTGTTCAGCTCGATGATACGGATCGACTGATATGCAATATGACCATTTCCGGTCAGGTGACCTTGACCTGAGGTCAAATTTTCTAGTTGACCTTTCTAGGTCAAGTTATATTTCATTCGATGCGTCTTGACGAGAGGAACACGATGCCGGTAAAAGTAAGCTCGTACAAGGCCTGGGTCAAAAGTTATTGCAGAAAAGCTGTTTCCCAAAAAATCGGCTATTTTTGCAGTTTTTGCCCCCTGCAGGCAAAATCGCTGACGTTAGGTCAAATCTGAGGGAATTATTCAGAAAGGGCGTTAATAGAGCCATCGAATGCGCTTTTCCGCGGCGCTGTAGCTCTATTGGTTCCCGAGTTATGCGTTGGCTTCTTGGAAATTGTCGACATTCGACCTGGAAATCGGCGAAATTTTGCCTTCAATGACCTCTGGTGACATGACCTTTGTTCTGACCAAAAAATTGACTGAAGTGATTTCGTCATTATTTTTTACTTTCTTTCGAACGCCGCCTTCCTCGTATCGCTACGTGGCCCAGGAGCCGAGTTAGAAGGGGGGGGTTAAACACCCCCCCCCCCAGCAGGGCGTGGAAATCCAAGACCCCCAGCCTGTCGCAGGTTAAAGTGACCATCCCACCTTAACCCTCGCCGGCACAGGGGGGGGGGGGTTGATGCAACCCATTAGCCGCGTGTTTGCAAGTTCAAACATGTGATTTGATGTTGCTCCCATACATGATGGTGGGTGTCAAGGTCACCTGAAGGTCAGGTCAGGTCATTGACCTTTGGTGACCTCGGGTGACCTCGGTTCACTTTTTCGAGTTTTACATGTTTCTAGGCTAGTTTTTGGAGCTGAATTCGAATTTAGCAACCATTTGAACATTTACGAAGTAGTTTTGGTGCTTTCGTAACATGTTACGAAGCTGTCAGAGGCGGTTGACACGTATTACGAATACCCGTCACAACCCCTACCGGTTGACCTGACCTGACCTGACCCGACCTGGTCTAAATGCTTAAAAACATCATCTCTGATCAAAACTAACACGATATTCGTGATCAGCACCCCGGAAAACCACATAGCAGCCACACTTTACGACTTTCTAACAGGTCCCGATTTTCCCGGTTTTCGGGTCATTGACCTGACCTGGAAGGTCACCCGATGACCTAGGACCTTAAAATTGGGTATCATCGGCTTCCTCTCGTGACGGGCAACACGCTCGTTTTTTCCGCGAAGCTCTAGCTCGATCAGGGGCCAAACGCGAGGGGGGGTCGTACCACCCCCCCCCCCCCTTGTGCCGTCGAAGGATGCAAAATGGCCTGTGCCGGCGAGGGTTAAAGGGACCCTCCCACCTTAACATTAGTTTTGAGTTGAGATAGCCAAGTTTGCGGCCAGGCTCAGAAACCACCATTTATCCTGGTCGCAACCCCCGCAGCTTTATGGTGTTCAAGAAATTTCTTCCCTTTACTTGCAGGGTGGGACCAGCGTGGTCCCTATCTCTTAACCATTACGGGAATCTGATGACGTCATCAGGCTTTCGAACGTCCGTTAAATGTTTGACTAAAACGTTTTGTAGCACGCGGTGGTATATGCTGCTTTGCGCGCAACGAATGCCGCACTTTCAAATAAAGTCGCTATGGAACAGCGGAGATCCCTAAAAGTAAACAAAAGTAAAAGTCTAATATCTTGAAAACCGGTGAATATTTTCGATGAAATTTGATAGATATTCGTTTTTGCTCTTTCTGAACCGAGCGACATCACTTTCATGCCAATTCATTAACTTTTTGAAGGTGGGAGGGTCCCTTTAACATAAGTTTTGAGTTGAGATAGCCAATCTGGGGTCCCTGGCTTACAATTGCCGGTTCGGGCACTTACAGCATCGAGAAATGTTTCAATTCCGAGATATTCAATTTGAAAGTCTGCAATTTTTAGACTCTAGGGGTCTAATACACTTGAATGCCCCTCACAATTTGTGGGGATGGTCCTTCTAAGTCAGATCTGAGTAACCAGAACTAATTTAGACAAAGCGCTGCCCCGCAGTACTCTAGCCCTATTCGTTCCCGAGTTGTGCGCCGATTTGTTAGAAGCATCGAAATAGGCGAAATTTGACCTTTTGTGACCTCTGATGACCTGATTTCTGACCTGATCTAAAATTATCAAAAAAACAATATTTTGTAGATGCTCTTTCAAATGTCGCTTACCGCTTGTTGCAATGTGGCTGAAGCCGTGCCAGAAGTGATTTTGTCGACGAAAGCTTCAAAATCGCAAGTGTGCATTAATCCCATGCATAATTCACTACAAGTTGGAACAGCCGACGGAGTAGCAGCCTCAAGCTTGCTTGCACCATGGGTAGGTACCGCATTCTCCTATTTTTTATCTCTCTCCTCTCCTTTTCTCTTCTCTCCTCTCCTCTCCTCTCCTCTCTTTCCTCACCTCTCCTCTCCCCTCCCCTCCTCTTCTCTCCTCTCTTATCTTACTTCCCCTCTCCCCTCCCCTTCCGCCCCTCCTCTCTCTCTCTCTCTCTCTCTCTCTCTCTCTCTCTCTCTCTCTCTCTCTCTCTCTCTCTCTCTCTCTCTCTCTCTCTCTCTCTCTCTCTCTCTCTCTCTCTCTCTCCTCGCTCCCTCCCTGCCTCCCCACTATCCCCGCCCCTCGCCAGCGCGGGGGGGAGTACCCGCAGACTACCCGTGAGTCACAGCTGCGCCACTATTTGAACGTCCGGAGCACGATGTGGGCTGAGCAGTTCCTCACGACTGGTGGCGCTGGTAGGTCGCAGTCGCACAGCGGCAGTATTCCGTGTAGATTTGATTGCTGTGCTTTTCTACGAATTGTGGCGACTCGAGAGGACGTTGACTTGACCTGAAGCAATTGCATTTGTACCGGAGACATTCGTTGTAACGGGCTCGGTTTCTGACCAGACAGGAATCCAGACACAGGTACGGTTTTTGACGGGAGTTAGTCGTTGAGACGGGCAGTTTTCGATCCGCCGTGGTTCAAATGGAGGGCGCAGCGACCGAAGTCGGCCGTCCGGGCGCGGAGCGGCGGGATGACGGTCCGCAGCCGGGGCCGGCCACGGCGCCGGTGGACGTGGCTATGGCGGCCGTCTGGGCCGTGGTGCACGGCTACCTGAATGTGCTGCTGCGCGGCCGGCCGCTGGCCGAGCGGCTGCCGGCCAACAGCGGCGGCCGGCCGGTGGCGCGCCTGCTGCTGCTCTGTCCCAGCGACGGCCGGCTGCCGGACGACATCGGCGCACTGCACCCGCGGCTGACGCCGGCCGGCCGCGCCGCTGAGGTGCTGGCCTCGGTGGCCGGCGCCCGCAGCCGGCCGATGGGCGGCCACCCGGTGTTCCTGCTGCGCCCGGCCGACGGCAGAGGGGACGGG